AGGTTCATGTCCGTGTGGCCATGCAGAATCAAAGAGGGCTGCTGTGTAACACAGTAAATCAGACCGTTGACTGATGGTGTATACTAATACAATACCTGATCACCAACAAATAGAAGTGATCAACTTTCCTATTACTTACCTGATGGAGATTTGTGTGAGACAGCAAACGCCTGTTGCTTACTCAGCAGTAAAAACACAACAAACAAAAGAATCTGTAACTTCATAATGAATGTGAAAACAGCTGCAGCTCCAGTAAAAGAACAATGAGCAGGAGCTCGGGCAGCTCTCAGCCTAACTAGCCTGAGTGTATTCAGCAGTGAAAACTCATCTCAAGCAGACTGCATGTGAGAAAAGAGCTGGAGACAGTCAGGAAATGTATGGGAGAATTCTTCAGCAGCAAATATGCCGGCAATGTTTCACTTCCAGTTAAAAAGATTTTTGAAAGTATATTTTAGGGAAAGTCTGCAAAGTTTTAAACTGTTTTTATCAAATTTGATCAGTCGTGTAATTTCTATGTCCTGGTGAGCAAAATGATAGGTTTAGGGAGGAAATCTGAGTCCAGCAGCCTGAAAGAAAAACGAAATAACCTCCAAAATATCAGAAAGAGGTAGAAGAATCTAACTGCGAGTGACAACAGCCAGTCTGTAAACCTGTTACTAATCCCAACATGTTTCTAAGTGGTGTGAAACGTTGATTCGAGTGGTTTTGTAATGCCGTTATTCAAAATTTTAACGATGTGCTACCCTTTATTTTATTTTATTTAAATGCTGGACTCAAAACTTTTTGAACCAACCACGAGACAGCGTTCGTCTGCATCCTTAATTGTTCTTATTTAAATTCTTCTTTGGAGACCAGCTTGTAAAAATAGCCAAATGAACAGCTGAGACCAAAAACAGAGCGACTGGTGAGGTTTCACTAATAGCTGCACGCAAACGCAGCCTCAAATGTTTTTTACCTGTTGGTTTGTGATTGTTGTGCCTTTTTTTTTCTTTTAAATTAAACAAAGTTCCAGTTGATACTGAGAGATCACTGGGAAACTGTATTTTTTTCCTTCTTTTTTGGATTTTTGACTTTCATGCAGTCCCTACAGTGCCTTCGCAGCCATTTTGTGCCTTCTACAAAGTGTTTTTTTTACATTACTTTGCACTGTACTTGAAGGTACGTCCGTTACGTGGCCTCTGTGTGTTACTGTGGTTCAGCTTTAAACCTTTTTAAGCTCCATTGTTCGTTCAGTCCCACAGAGGTGGGGAATGGGTGGATGTAATGGAGCCTTGAGGAGAAATTACTGTTTTGTTTGTTTTCTCTTAAACTGCACTGATATTTTTCTAGGAAGAGTTGTGAAGGTTTCATATGTTGAACTGCAAAGAGTCATTAATCCAAAACTACAGCGTATGATTTCACATGATAACGGTCCTCTTTCTTGTAATCAGTTGCGTATGATCAGATGTAAAAACTTGAATTCCCATGAAGCGCTTTCTGTTGCAATGAATAAAGTGCACTTTATTTCGACAGTGTGATCATGTTGCATCAGCTGACTGTGTAATTCATTGGTGTGGTCCAAAACATGAGAGGGAAATTACATCCGTTACATTGGATTGGTTTTCCTTGTGTAACATTTAATTAACTGACCGAGCAGCCTTCTATTGTTCTTCCCCAGCAAACAGTGTCTTTACTGGTCTCTAATGAGCGGCTAAAGGAAGCAGGTCTGAGAGGGAGCTGCGAGGACTCAGACTTTATTGTCTGAGTTTCCTGTTTGGCATCCAGACATTGTTTTTTTTTTTTGTTTTTTTTTTTAATGTCTTCTGTTAACTGAAATGCTGCTCACTTTTCTTCGGAGAAACAAGAACTTTCACTGTGAATCAATAAAAGGCTCAAGTGACGTCTTACTGCAGCACAGAAAACACAAACATCCATGCTGGACCCCCTCTTCCCTTCTGAACTGCCCTAATTCTTGGAAGCCTTCCTCGGGTTCCATCACCTCCCAGAGGTGCTCTGCTGGACTGAGATCAGGCGACTGGAGGCCATTCAAGTACAGTGAACGATCTGAGGTTCAGGATGCTGCAGTAGCAATCGGAAGACAGGTACACTGCGTCAGTAAGCTGAGGGGTTTAAATGATGCTCACCATTAAACCAGCAGCATCCTAAACTGTTCATACAATGTATATTATGCTGTTGTCTCATTAGAGTGAGCCTGTGGGAACTGTAGCCTCAGTTTCCTGCTCTTAGCTGACAGGAGTGATGCTCGTGGGGTCTCTTGCTGCTGTAGCCCATCAGCAAGGTCTGATGTGTGCATTCAGAGATGCTCTTCTGCATACATTGACTGTAATGAGTCGTTATTTGAGTTTCTGCCTCCTTCCTATCAGCTCGAAGAAGCCAGGCCATTCTCCACCGGCTTCTGACATCAGCGAGGCTTTTTCTCCCCATAGACCTCCCACACGCTGGACATTTTCCACTTTCAGACCAATTTCTGTAAACTCGGGGATGGTTGTGTGGGAAAATTGCAGCAGATCAGCAGTTTCTGAAATATTTAGGCCACAACGTTTGGCAGCAAGCACTCTTCCCCAGTCAGATCCTCAGTTTGAACTTCAGCAAGTTGTCTTGACCGTGTCTACATGAGATATGCGTGCGATTGGCTGATTGCAGGTTTACACGTACAAGCAGAGCAGGACTCAAAAACAAAAACGGAGGGGTAAGTGAGCAGTTCACCCTCTGGATTTTTGTTATGAAAGGGGAAGATATCCATAGAAGCAAACCTAAACGTGCTTATTTCTGCTTTAAACCATTTTAACATGGGAGTCGGCCTCAAGTGGCCATGAAAGGAGCTGGAAGGCGTTTATTCTGTTGAGATCAAACACTGATGTTCTGTGATACCGGCTCTGGCAAAGGTGTTTGATGGGGTTGAGGTCAGGACTCTGGCCTCAGGTGCTCGGGTTGGCGGTTTGGTGTGTCTGTCTTTTGTTCAAACTATCATAGTAGCTGAAGCAGCAAACTGCAGGGCGAAGACAAGAGAAGCATAAATATGACTCTCTGCTAGACAAACTCCCACAAATATTTCATGTCAGATGTGTAAATCTCACTGTAAAAAGGGGGGAAATGTGACTTTAAGCTCTGCTGTAAATCAGATATGGGAGTCGAGCCTGGAGGAATGTGGGACTGAGTAGAGGGTGCGGGTGCTGGTGGTGGTTTCTCTCCGAGAGCTCGTCTGATTCACTCTGATTCACGGCTAATAAAACAACAGTTAACAATGAGCGTGGCTTGTTTGGCAGCAGAACGTTTCGCCTGTGCTTGCTGCCCACTTAACGAGCGCATTCTGCACGAGTTGATACGCGATGACGAAGCCTTCTCTTCAAAGAGATCCGGGCGTCGACTCAACCCTGCAGCCAGCTGTGTGTTTACTCTGCTTTGAGCTCTTTTTGCAGGACAAAACCACAACACTTTCTAGGGTAACATACTTCAGAGTGACCTCCGTGTGGTCTCCCAAACCACGTTTAAGTTTCCTGCCTATAACTATTTTAAACTCGGGGTAAAATAACAGAATATTACTAATAACAGCGTATTAGTCCTAAACGCTTCAGTGTGCAGAGATAAGATTGTAATCTAAGCCTATCCGGAGGCCGACAGCTGTGACCTGGCATGACTTTTCGTGCTTGTAACACTTCTGACAAATCACTTCCTGACGTGTGCTAAAACAGTTGATGCTGAGCCAGAAACACTTAAACCAGGTCATGAGAAGAAGAGTGAATAAGATGATCATCTGCACTGATTCACTCTTAAAAGACTCAGATAAAATTATTGAATACCCGAGTCAAGTTATCTCGAATGATACCAACTTCCCCTTTTTTGATACCAACCAAAAAAAATAAATACCCGTCCTCTATTGAGTCACGATTGCAGAGCAGTGACCGCACTGAGTGCAATCAAACTGTTTGCATTATGCTTGTTTGTTATGAAGTCCCGAGAAACACCGAGAGAACACTAACGTGTACAGGAAGTCCTGTCAGGACGTTTCCTTCCTTTTATCAGTGATGCTGCAATTAGAGAAATGGACAAGCAGTAAAAAGCAGCTCAACTCTCGATGAGTCAAATCTGAGGACAAATTAGTCAGCTTAAATGTAAAAGCACAACATTACAGTTAGTGAGCTGCATGCTGTCACAGTGTCACAGCCAATGACCCACTATGACCATGATTACTGTGACTAGAGACTCAAGTTTCAGCACAAACAAATACGATCCGCCCTCCTCCTCGCTGAGGAGCAGCACATCTGGGAAGCATTTTCAGTCCGTGGTTACAAAAAGCAAATAATATGGACGCTGCTACGTCAGCGGGGACCACCAGAAGAATCCCAGCAGTACAAAAAAGGGAAAGAAATTAGCAGGAAATTAAATCCGTACATGTAAAAACAAAAACAGAATAATACAATTGAACACAAAACTAATCAACTGATCCTAAGTCTGGCAGCCAAAGCCCTCAGAGGAAAAAGGCATTGTACGTTTCTCATAAATTCCATATTCATCTTGTTAATATTTTTTAAAGCTGATGAGTTTAAGCCTGTCTACAGTTTGGGACCACCTGCATCATGCTTCTGATTTAATCAGTGTGTCACGTCTGTCGTCACAGATGCACTTTAGGTGTACTCATCGGATTCCCAAAATCCAGCTCGTTTCACTGCTGTGATCGCTGCGTGATGTATTCGAGGGGCGGTTAAGTGAATCGTGTCGAGGTTGGCTGCTCAAAGTGTCTTTAGAGCAGTGCTGTTGTGATTTGGCGCTATAAAGTTGAACTGAATAGGTCAGATTAAACCACAAATTGGATGAAATTATAAACCTCTGCAAGAGTGCGAGGCAGAGGAGCTGAGACAAACCCAAACAAATATAAACTACCGCAGATGGAAATAACAACCTTCTTGTTATGTTGGGTTCAGCCCGCAATCAAGTGTTTGGCCGGGCTCCAGCTTTTCCTCACCGAGTAACTGAAAGAAGCATCGACACAGGAATCGTGCCAAAGTGATTTATTTTATTTCCAGGTAAACATTTGATCTTCATACAATTGCATTTCTAAAAAGTGAACATACTTAAACCAGCAGACGGAAACAAAACTCAAATGGAAAGAAACAAACGGAGTTATTTAAATACAAAACAAAAAGAAAATATTATTTTAGCCATTGCACTTTAACTTCATAAATACAAGAAAGTTCATTTCTCTCTCTGGCCCAAAGAAACACGACGTACAGCACATTCAACCCATCGCTCACGGGTTCGATCGCTCCGATTAGAGGAAGCCCGACCGCGTTGCACCAACGTTGTTGCATTCCTGTCATTATGGGATGTCAGAGAGAAACGACTCGTGTTTGTGGTGAGAGCTGAAACGATTAGCCGGCTAGTCTTTATTTGTTTTTCAAGCAAATTAGCCCGAGACGTTCTCGGCTTCCTGTTACTCAGATCTGAGAAAGCGGAGAAACAGGAAGCGTTTCTTCAGCACCATCAATATACCGTGTAACATTATAATAATCACTGCTTTACTCATGGATGAATCAATTCTGGACTTTTAAAAAATAAGGACAAAAACCCCTAATTTTTGACAGATTGATCGTTATGAGGAGAAAACTCGAGCTGAGACTCGCAGACAATCCAAACAAACTAAATGCATCCGATTTGTTTTTATTTCCTCATTTCCTGAATGACAGACTCTGGCAGATGACATTATTTGTTATCACTGAAAGGCTCCAAATGTAACTTTCTCACTGTCAGTAACTTCAGTCGTGACCTCCTACAGGAACGAATGAAAGTAAGAGCAGCTCTGGTTCTGTTTACACCAGTTTTACCTTTTGGTTCTCAAACTGTGGAGTGGGTCCAACTGGTGGGACGCAGAGCATCAGACTATCCCACTGAGCCGACGGCTAATGAAATAAAATTGAACCTGGATCCTGTTTTCTTTACCTGATAAACGTGTTGAGGTGTGCGATGTGACTCAGTGAAGGCTTGAGCTTTACACATGCAATTATTTAAAAATAGAGGAAATGATTTCCACACTCACCCCCTGCAAGCCTGAGCTGGATAAGAGGGTAAGATTACTCATTTGTTTTACATTTCCTCATTTATTGAATGACAGACTCTGGTGGATGGCACATTTGTTATCACTGACTATCACTCATTTCTCTCTGATTTCAGAAAAAGTTGAGAATCCTTAAAATCTCTCTTAACAAAAAGTCTGAATATAAAACTGTTCAAAAACGGCACTGACATTTGAGATGGTTTTCTTTTTGGCCGTATTTGATAAAGAAAAAGATCAATTATCATCTCAGAGAGATCAGAAACACTTGATTTATTTTCTTTTGAATAAATAATTTGACTTTAATCTGTCAAAAATACACCAACAAGGTTTTAGACTTTCAGATCTTTCAAATCCATAAAAATAAGATGAAAATAAGATGAGCAGAATTACCCATGATGTGCACAAAATATTTGTTTTCAGCCTTGACAGGGAGACAAAGATATCAGATCTGCAGTGAAAAAGATTTTTCATGTTTTTGTTAACCGAGCTTTCACTGGACTCGAGAAAACCTAAACTCCCAGACAGACGGGCATCACGAGGCTTTTGCAGAAAATTAAACGTGTTCACTGATTTGGTGGAATAACGGCAATTTCACTCAGAGATGCAAACACGGCCGCTGTGCTGAAGACGGCCCAGATCATCTTAAAGTGGGAGGTCGGCCAAATGTAAATCGTGTTATTTATTCTTAATCATCATAAATATGCAATTTATTTTCTGCAATGGTGACTAAATGTGCAAAGGTTCCTGTGCGAACTTTACTGACATGCAGCTCGGCAGGTAACCTCGTCCCTCAGGTGAGGATATAAATTGCTCTTTGGAAACGTGCACTTTTAGATTTACATTTTAATCTGAAAATCTGAAAAGAACTTCCTCTGGAGCAGCTCATGCGTGCAGCACAAAGCAAGCCTCGCCATCCTTCACCGTCCCATTAAATCTGCAGATTTCTGTGGAAACTACGGACTGATCGTTTCAGCTCTGCACGACTATGAATTTAGCGTACATTATTTGCACCCGAACGAGACGAGAAAACCCCGCCTTACATCCATGACGGTTAAAAAGACACACATACAATATACACATCGTATTAACATAATGGCCAGCCATGGGATTTCTGCCTGTAACACTTGTTTTTTAAAAACGTACATACAGAGAATTCAACACGCGCCCTCAAACGTTTCTAGTAAATCAATCAAACCGACGCTGACAGTTTCTGCTCGCTTTAAATTCTGCAACATTTTTGGCAGCTGGGAACGTTTCACCTCTTCACAGAGAGGACACATGGGAGTATCAAAGTGCTCTTTGCTTGATTCTTATTTCCTCCCCACGCCCGCCTTCCAGCGACCCCCGACACCTTCCTGCGTTTCCCGTTCATGCCATTGGGTCAAACGAGTTCCCACGTTCCTGTCGAACGCTCTCCCACCTGACTGATCCACCTCAAGCCCTCAAATGTGGTGCTATAGTTTGGTTTTTACTATCACTGCAAAAATGGAGCAAAGTGTGATGAATATTGTGCAGCATAAAGAAAAGAAGAGAGAGAGAGACAGCTTCATTGTTTTGTCATAAAAAACAAGCTCAATAATCAAACCTTCCACCATGTGAGACGATGGGAGGAGACGGACGCCGCTGAGCATGCGTGAACTCAGCTTCTTTTTTTTTTTCTTTAAAGATGAGCAGGAAAGTCGTTTTCACGAGAAAATCCCGAGTCCATGTACAAACTGTACTACTGTACTGTTAGACGCCGCTCAGCCGCGTTATCAGCTCACAGTCCTTAGTGTTACTCAGGCGGGGGTGGAGGGTGGACTTTACGAATTTCGCTTTTTTAGTTTTGTTGTTAAAGTTTCGTATTTCGTCCAGCTCCAGTCTTGGTCCTTGAAAGATGGAAATGGAGGCGTTAGTAAAAGACAACCGAGAATATGTAACGTGCTGAAGTGCAAATATATCTTAATTTCTGAGTTTTTAATAAGTTTTGGATGTGAGTTGCAAACAGTCTCGTTTTACAGAGTTTTGATAACGCTTCATAACGATCATCATTATTAAAAGATAAAATGACAGCTAACCCACCTTAGTTTACAGTTAAATATTATTATAATTAAAAACCTAATATTTGTTAACAATTAATGGTCTAACATTTTGACTTTACAACAATCATCTACAGTCTTTGATAAAACTTTACTAAAAATGGCTAAAAAAAAAATCACTGCTAAAATAAGTTGGAAGTGGCAACTTTAAAGAGAGATGCACCATGTGGGGTGTGCTCTGTCCCGATTGTCGCAAGGCTTCAGATCACACCTGGAGCATTTTAGAGTGAGGTCTTTTATTTTGAAAAGCTTCTGTTGAGAAGCTGCCACTGGAGTGTTTCTGAAACATGCGGCAGCACATTAGTTAGAATTGCCGGCATTAATGAGAGTTGGCGGGATAAGCTTCAGCGCCTGCATCAGAGCTGAAATGCGACCCAGCGGCGCCCCGTGCATTCCCACGGTTAGGCGTGAGACCAGTCGGACTATAAACGCTACATGTGTTTCATGGAACTGACGCTAAAGGAAACCTGAAGCATAACTTGCAGTACTGTGTTGAGAGTGCCGTTTAGAGTGACCCCGTGAAATGCACGGCTCACTGCACGCATTCATGACCATGACCGGCTTCCACCTGGTGCACTGCGGTGCGTTTCAGAAGTAGCGTTCTGTACTGCATCTCTGAAAATAACCTCAGATCTCAAGATGCATACAGAAACTACAGAGAGAATTTCAAAATAAAAGACCCCTGCTTCCAAAATGCTCCTGGTGTGATGTGAAGACCAGTGAAGAACGGAAGAACACCTGGTGAAGTGCATCATGTTGTGCTCAAACTGAGCTGTTTATGATGAGCTTGGAACAAAAGTGACTTTTACTGAAAGACGTTATTAAAGTATTGATCAAATTTTGGAGTCAAATGTCAGATTTATGAGTATAAATCAAGCATTATGGCTTCGAATGAACAGCAGTACTTGGTAATGAGAACAGCCTCAAATAATTGATTATCAGCTAGGATAACTCAATATATAACTAAAACATGAATAAATATGATTAATAGCATCCCTACCGTTTAAATAACTATGAATTTAACTATGATTTGTTTTTAAATGTTGGTTATTATAAAGTGTTCGCTTGTCATCATCTTTAATAACTGATAAAAATATAATTCAAAATGTATAATATATATTTATCACGCTAATAAATATTACTATATAATATACAGGAAACTGAAAACTCTGTGTGATTCTGTTTTCTTATCACATCTGCAAGCTTAAAAGAAACAAAAAGTTCCTTCCTTCATAATAAGACTAAAAAAAGAACAGCGAGGTCCTGTCCTGTTCTCCTAAATGAGATTAAAGACATGCTGACAGGCCTCAGGTCCTTCACAGATGCAGATAGGAGACGCCTAGTGCGTCTAGTTTCCCAAAGGGAAAATAAAAATAAATGAAGACTTTATGGCTGATTTAAATGCAGCCCTCTCCAATAACAAACAAACCTTAAAAGCAGCAGATAAAAAGCAGCAAACTCACCACTATGCTGTTGGCCTGTTCGTCAGCAGCTTCCTGCATCAGGCTGGTCAGCTGACTGAGGTACTTCTGGTTCTCCTGCAGGAGTCGTGGGGCAGCATCACTGAAGGAAACGCACACAGCTTGTTAGACACAATTCAGTCACATGACGCCTCCTTCATATGCACAATGTGTTTACTATCTTGCAACAGAAAGAAGAACGCCCAAGGGCAAAACACAAAGCACTGGCCTACAAACTATATATATATCAGTATGTTCATGCTTCAGTCATGTGCAGTTATTATTATACTAACAGTTTAGCTAACACACAGGCTGGAAATGTAATGAAGAGAACAGGCTGAAATAATATTTAGAAAAATGAAAAAGATAATGTACCAACTACGAGCATTCTGAAAACACTTTTCCAAATGCAATGCTCCAATTCACAGGATCTTCCTCAGGCATGCGTCTTTTTTAATGCTTCATAAAAACAAAACTATTATGACTCAATTATTGGTCCCAAAAACTAAGTCCAGCTTTTGCCTGCAGTCCAGCTTGTACAGCTCCCTGCTGGTGAGCTCTCCTCCCAGGTCTGGCAGGTGCTGCAGCTCTGTTTTTTGAGTCATGTGGGTCATTTGAATCATTCTTCATCTTTCTTTGAAGATTTTCTGGGAAAAGCCAGCTGGGTGGAGACCTTAGACCTCTAATAAAGGTAGACCTAGGAATAACTCAGGATCGCCCCAGGTGGAATTGGAAAATGTTGCTGGGGAAAAGAACCTCTGGCAGGAATACATGCTTAGTCAGCTGCCAACAAGCCCAAACTTTAAAAGCAGAAGGAAAAAAAAGAAGGATGGAGGGATTTCATGACACATGAGTCATTCCTGGAACTGTGACAGACATATGACAGGAACAAGGATTGCCTGTGGCGTCTTAACTCCTGGGAATCTTCTGTTGCATTGCACAGCTAGTCACAACCTTTAGAGTGACCCCAACCATGACCCCAACCAGCCAGCAACTGGTAAGAGAGACTGAATAAAGCTTCAGTCTCTCTGGAACATCAACAGGGAGTTGATGCACCAGTTAGGAAGGATTCACACGTTCACTTTGGACATGGCGATCTGATCGACTGCATTGATTCAAGCTCCAGCACCACAGCTGGTTAGCTTCAGGATACTTTAGCTGTACCCATGGGCAGATATGACCTGCACTCAGTGAGTCATCCATCCTCAAATGCAGTTAAAAAAAAATTTTAAAAAAAAATCAGACAACAATATGAGACATAATGAGGAAAATATACCAACATCATGTAGGAAATGAAAGATATGATTAATAGCTACTGGAACAAAGCTGTTTGTATCGTTCTCTTCTCAGTTTGAGACCGACCGAGTCCAGCTGTGGCTCAACAATCAGCCCGTCAGACCACTCAACAATTTGGCTGAGTGAGTCAAATCATGACCATTTGTCGAGAGAGGAAGATGTCTGTGAAGTCTTTTGTTTGATGTGAGATTTCCTGTATATGAACAGGAAATTACTAAGCTGTTTTTATTCACATATACGCATCCACATTCACAAACAGGTACCTCACCGTGTCGACACTTCCTTAGTAATTTGGCACCAAGTGAAATAAACTACCAGCTGTTATCAATGCTGAAGGTGCTTCTGCTGAATTCTATGTTAAAGGAGTGTGAACATCTCACTTGTAGAGCTGACCCCAGTCCCAACACGGCTGAGTGGACGTTACCTGTCATTTGGCCCTGGTAGGGAGGTCAGGGGGTGCGGGGAGCTGACGGGCTGTGCCGACTGGGACCACTGAGAAACCTGCAGCAGGTTGGACGACTCGGGACTGGCTGCTATCGAGCTCCGTGACGAGTTCTGAGCCTGAAGGAGAGACAGAAACACACCGTTACAGGCAGCAGTAAAAAACACGCCTCCCCTCTCCTGCAGCAGGAATGCAGGCGGCACACCCTACCGCTCACTCTGTGTTTGGTACTTTATAGCAGCTGAGTCTGAGGAGATCACAGAAAGTACAACAAAGCTCACCACCACTGGGTCTGACAACTGCAGAAAAGGGAATCAGAAAATGAATAAGTGAACTTAACCTATTCCAGGATATTACCAGGATCCAGCTCCAGCAATTAGAGGACTTCCTTTTTTCTTTTCTTATACACCAGTACACTAAATTTATCTGAGCTGGATGGTGATCAGACAAAACTTCTGATATTCTGTAGAATCAGAGAAAAGCTGATGACATTTTATTCTTAGTTGTACATAAATAGTTTTATCCAGCAGTTACACAACTTCCCCCTCTTCTTTGCATCATGCCCCACACTACATTTCAAAGACAAATGAAGTCACAAACTTGGAAAAAGTAGACCGGGCTGCTAACGACTGATGTAGATTTACTCACGCAGGCGATCTTAAGTAAGTGCCAGAACTCCCTCTGTCTCTTGATCTGCATCTGCATCACGGTGTTGTCAGCGTCCTTGATGTTCTCCAGAGTTTTGTCAATCCGGGGAAACAAGTCAATGATCTTCTGTTTGCTGATCAGGATTTTACTGTTGGGGTGAGACAAATCAGGGAAAACATAAATGATGTTTTCCACCGTCACTGTGACTCTTTAGACAGACTCAGTGTAGACCTCACACCGGGGATGGATTCAAGTTCTGGAGTAATTTATGCTCCAAAAGTTTCCTCCTCAGCAGGGAGGGAGTAACTGAAAATTCAGGGGGTAAAGTCTGCAGCTTAAACTTTCCTTAACACCAGCAGACGTTTTATGTGTTTAAGAGCCGTCACTTCTTTATAAATCAGTGGGTTAATCTAGGCCCTATCCTCACATACACGGGATTTTCATCTACACATAAACATTATTTCATGTCACTGAACTTTAGATAAACTCCTTCCAGGGTCAAGATTTCTATAATCTCTATTTCTGTGCTTACTTGTGGGCGAGGAACATGAAGACTTTTCTTGCAATATCAAAGGTGTGCACTGTGTTGTTGTTTGCAGGCTTTTGAGTGGTCAACATGAATCTATGAATTGGGGTTATAGTGTCACCTTTTGCTTTGGCGGCACTTGATACTGTTATTTGCATTTTCATGTGGATGGAGACGAGTAGGAAAACATCTGAACCTGTGGATTCAGCATTAACCTGCCCTGACAGAACATACAAGTACCTCAAGATAGGTTAAAAAAAAAAAAAAAGTACTACAAATATGCATTACTAGTACTGTGGCACTTAAGAACAAAGAAAAGTGTATGAGACCACAGATAATTAACAGTAATCAGAGGTGTAAAGCTCAGGGTGAAATCAAACTGTCAAGCATGGGTGGACCCTCACCTGAGGTGTGTGAACAGATCTTTGAGGACCTTGTCTTGGTTCTGGACTGTCTGGATGATGGCCTTCACCATCTCAGAGCTGTCGCAGCTCACATCAGAGTCAGGTACTAACCAAAGGGGGGGGGAGTTTAAACAACACCTCAGTTTAAAGAATGGATTAATTTCTCTTCTGATTTCAGAGTTTTAAATGATCCATTCAACGTTTCTTACCTTTGCATTTCATCTTCAGTTGCTTGTACAGCTCGATTGCCTTTTCTTCCCTGCAAAAAATTATTTTATCACATTAAAATGTTCTTCTTTGAATTCTGAAGCTAAGCTCATGATCAGATTACTCTCTGAAGCTGCATGTTTAAAAACACCACTGGTATCCTCTCCATATGTGTTGAAGACAGGCACTGGTCAGAACTTTCACAGCAGCACCAAGGACGGTTTTTAATTTAAAGTGGCACGCTTTCAATCCAGTGCATGACGTGACAGCAATTCACAGGATTTACAAAAGAAAAAGTAGTAAACTTTTACCCAACAGCAAACTAGTTTGATCGACTAAAATGTAGAGCAAAGTCTTTTCCCTGTGGAGTGAAGCAAGATGCATACATCCAGGTGAGGTTACACCAGCACCTCATTAAGCTGTATGAAACTTCAGCCACATCCCTTATCTTCACTGCGATTATGTTTCTTTATTAACTTGGTGATATGTTGAGGTCTGGCCTACATGGGGGTTTCTGCTGTATCATTTACTGAAGGAGGACAGCGAGGCTGTGGTGAACAGGGTCTTTAGACCCTATGTTACTAAAAAGAGGAAGAGCACCGAGCCCATCATTATGTCTCTACTGTCAACAGTCAACACCAGGATCAGAAACTTTCCCACAGAGCCAAGGCTAACCTGATGAAAACACATTTTTTAAAGAAGGGGCACTTTAAGCTTTCACTGTGCACAGCTGCACATAACTGCAATGACCCCAGTTAGAGTTCAGCTGGGGCTCGTTACTGCATCTGGTACTTCCTAACGTGCGTTCAGACCAAATGTGTTCAAAACACACAAATATTTCCTTCCCACAGTCGACAGGAGAACAAGGAGGAGTACAACCAACGGCTGGAATCAAGTTACAGTCACATATTTTCAGCAGTTACCACAAAACGCAATAATTTCACTCACTTTTCTCCAAAGCAATCTCCTTTTTCCTTTTCCCTGCTACTATCTTATAAAAAAATTTCGAATAACACAGCTCTGTCCACAAATGGAGCCAACAAGCTTGGCCTTCGTTTCTTATCAGCAATGGCGTCTGGAGAATCTACAGACACGATTACACTCATGTACAGAAGGAAAAGACAATGAGAGGGCTTGGAGGAAAATAAATGAAATCCTAGGACTTCATGCTTATTCCCACTGAGTCAGGAGAGTCCACTCTGTGAGAGATTCTGAGCTGGCAGGCTTTGATGACACAGCATGAAGTGGATTTTTCACTGAAGTTGGATATTTGAGCTGTGGATGGGGATTTGCCTCCATTTACATCACCTGACATGTATTCTCATTAACGTTGCTACAGACTTTGTAGTCCTGCATAAACTTCACTTTATGTTTGGCTGAACATGGTTGAAATGATGATGTTATCTCCGGGTTAACCTGTTTTAATTAATTAATTTGTTTATTTTTAGTATAAATAAAAGATTTTAAGCCAATTTTAAACACTGCCTCTCTGCTCCCGACCTCATCTTTATAAATTTTGATGTGACAAGCTTAGTGTCTTCGCATCAGCAAAGCTTTTATTTTGGAGGCATTTTTCCAACCATAGAGAAACGTCCGCCAGCTGATGGTCAGTCAACATCGAACTGTTTGCTGTACCTTTTCTCTGCGCGTGTTCTCAAGATCTCAAAGTAAATGAACTTTTTCACTGACAAAAATCTGCCAAGCTCATGGTGGCGTGGTTAGTGGTCTAAAGTTGCCTCACAGCAAGAAGGTTCGTGACTCAAACTTCCTGGTCAGCTTCTCATTCTTCACCTTCTTGCCTTTTTAAGTGCTGTTTACACATTTTCCCTGTGCCTGCATGCTTTTTCTCCACAGTCCAAGTTTATTAGTGTTTTCTTTTACTGGACTTGGGTGTAGACCGTGGAGCTCACGTGCCCCCTTTATATGGGTCAGCACAGCTTTTTTTACTGAGATAAAGTCTCACATCATGACTGGCTCTAAAACGCTGAAGTCTAAGGAGCTTGGAAAGAAAAGCAACTGGATTTATTTAAAGGAGAAATAAAAGAAGTCCTTAAATTACCATGGTGATGACTGAGAACTTACACAGTGATCTAAAGTCAAAACTTTAATTTATACTGCTTTGAATCGCTACAGAGTCTTTGTAAAGTGATCCTTTGTCATTTCTGCATGTAGATGTGCATTTTCTCTCTTTAGAGATGCAACATGTGGTTACATCTCTACGAAGGTGGATGTAAGGTTACAGTGTAAGTTATAGCACAGGACATCAGAACAGGTTGTGGTTACAATATACCTACAGTGCAGATTTAACGCAGACGTACAAATTTGCTTGTAAATAGTCTGACTTTTAATACATTGCTGTTAGGAAATACTGTCATCATGGGGTTCGTGCAGATTAACACGTCACCGTCTTTTGCTGCCTATGAGGAAATTCCAAGCTAGTATAAAGTCACAAGCTTTACACAAACTTTTGTGGAATGACTAAAACTTCCTAAAACTAAATAAAACGAATAAAAGTTGCCGTAATGACAAAGACCGGGAAACTTCCACTAACTAGATAAAGGTAATGAACGTATGCAGGGCTTTTGTTTTTCCCCAGTTATTTCGTCAGTTATAAGCGCACAGCTCAGAAACAAACGTGCATGTTGATAGAGGATTTTTAGAGACAAAAAAAAATTGGAGTAAACACGTTAAAAAAGTTACTGGGGGAAAAAAAGGAGAACACATAAAAATATGAAGATTTCTGTATAATTAAATATAGGTGTCAGTTTCCTTTATGATCACTGTGGTAAGGCAATTGGGAGCATCGCACTGAAATAAAACATATTTGTCCTTCACGTGTTAAATGCCTTTCAGCATTAGTAATGTGTCCCATATTCTTTCACACAATTGTCCTCTTTGTCCCATATTTATTTGTTGCGATCTCGACCTCTTAGTCATGAAGGAAGGTTTTTTCTTCCCTCAATGTTATACATCTGTTTGTTCGTCCAAACAGAGCTGGAAACCTTCTGGAAAAATTCTCCATCATGACATTTATGCACACCACACAACCATCCTTTCAAATTGGTGACTGAGTGGACTGTAAACAGGCAAGAAGCCGGGAGTCAAATTTAGATGCATTTCCATGTGCTCTGTACACAAGTCCAAAGCATGTTGCAAACATTCAAAGTACATCAGTATACAGTCAAAGTGTGTCATATTTGAAATATTTAGCGTGCATGTAAATGTATTCATGATGTAGGATTGTTTTTGGCACCGTCCGGTCATTTCCTCAGGTGAAGCGGGGACAACCAAAAAGAGTCAAAATCATCTGTAGACACCATTATGCAAACCAACCAAAAAGAATCAAAGGCCAACAAGTGACTGTTACTTATGTCTTTTAAATTAGGTGAAATGTGGGATTTAGATGGCTCTTGATAAATGTCCACAGATTAAATCATCTCAGGTTAAACCCTTTTAATACTCACAGCTGCTCCATCTTGTCTCCTTGGCGTCGGGCATATGGGCTCCTCTGTAGTTCTACTATCTCAGAGTGCAGAGCCATGATCTCATCATCCAAATGGCTCACCTCTGCCACCTGCAGGACAGACAATGGATCAACCAAAGGCTGCTGTAGGAAGCCTTTGCACTGGTAAACATCACAGTGATTCCTACACATGTTCTTTATGCCTCCTCAGTGACTGTGATCCTGCAGATGAACATCAACTCCACCATCTTGGACTGCAGTAGGTGAAGGTAGTCCTTGTTCTGGTCTGCAGCCCTCACTGTAGGTCAGGGGATCACCTAAGAAGTGACTTTGGAACCAGAAGAACTACTCTCACCAGCTGCAGTCCAAAATGAGTGCAACCTGGTAAACCTACTGCAGTAAACCAGTAGGAAAAAACAAAAAACATGAAAGAGCCTGGACTAGCTGGTTAGCAACTACCAGTCTGTATCTTATTTTTAAGAGATGAGTTACCTGAGCAAAAGCTGCAGCTCTTTCTTCGTTCTCCTGCCAGGCTTTCAGCATCTTTTCTGAGGCTTTGGACAAATCAGACAAATGTGAGCTCACCGAGCACCCTACAACATGTTTACTGAAACAAAGAGCAAACAGCTGCCAGCAAACACTCACATATGCCATAGTGCATCTGATCGCTGTATTTTTCCAAGTCATATTGGATGCTACTCTTGAAGAAATCCAGCTTAGCTTTGAGCTGCTGCGAGAAGCCGAACATGCTGTTTTTACACCTGGTCAGGTTGGTGTTGTAGCGGAGGAGGCTCAACCTTGAGGGGGAAGGAGGAGATGGTAAAATCAGAAAGCTCCAAGAGGAAGGCGGAGGACTGAAGAAGACAGGCTGACAGTCCAGCCACAGCTAAAGCTTCCAGAGGAGCAACAGTCACAAGCACCAGAGTGTGAGGAGCAACACAACAGAAAGTTGAATTCAAACTAGGACTCGGGAAGAATTACACTGGAAAATAAGCAGACACTACAACTATATTCAGCTGACAACTAAATCGTTGCTCTAAATATTCAACCAACAGTTAAATGTTGGAATAAAATTTACAGAAAATGTTTAGATGGGTTTCTTCAGGGCTCAACTTTAAGGCTTCGAGGTACAAATAATAAAACCTGGACCAACAAATGCAATTACTAAAACTATTAAAGGTTTTTTTTTGTTTACAAAAACTTGCAGATAAATAAGGAGACGCTGGGATTCCTAGCTACTAAGCAGAAGTCGTGAGTGTAACAAAGAGAAATGATTTAAATAGCATAAACAGAATTGAGAACCGGTTTCAGTTTTGAACCCATTTTAAGTGAGCCACTGTGCTGAGACTCGGTGCCCAGCGCCTTATCACTTTCTTTCATAAATGTTGGTGTGTCACATTTCAAAACAATGATGTCAGCCTAATAACAGTTGGCTTTTTGTACACATGAGTCACCAGGAAGTTAATTTCTTTCCTGCTCCATTTCTACACTTTGTCCACACTCAGAAAATAATGCAGGTATCTAAAGCCTGTGTAAGTGTGCTGCTGGATAAGAGCAGAAATCATAATCTATTTTATTTTGGTTAATCTTGATTAGTAATTAGGATTACTTCATAACTTAGTCCACAAAAATATCTTTTTAAAGGAGATTTCTAGGAACTGAATTTAAATAATAATAAAAAAAACACCACATAAAAAGCATAATTTTGACCGTACGGCCCATCCTTTGAGGGCAACCACCGACAGACGGGAGCAACATGTGGCCCAAACGGCAGTAGGCTCACGTGCATTGAAAAACCAACATAGTAGCCACATTGAGAGAAACAAGGAACCAAGAGTCAACCAATACCTCACACAGCACGTACAGAAGTGGATTATGCAAGAGTAAAAGGAATCTGGATGTAACCATTAATGGTCCACTCACACGTTCACGCACAGTACCCTTATACCACTTTCAGTTCTTCTGCTATGAGCTTTTTTTGTTCTGGCTCGTGCTGAACATAATTGTTTAAAATTATGAACTAAAATTAAAGTCTAATATAAACAGAGCTACTGATGCACTACTGATACTGATGAAGTATGGTGTCTTTTCATCCGTAGCAAACACAGAGTATTATTTCCTCCTCAGAAAAGAAAAACTAATATTATTAATTTGATATGAAACTAATATCGGTCGTTTTATTTCTGTGTTTGACAATAACTATTCTTCACCAAAACCACAACATCTGGTTGTACGCTGCTAGGATGTAACATAAAACACTCTTAATGAAAAAGCTCAACTTACACTGTTTAATATTTAAATAGCACAAACGCATAAAGCTGATGTTATTTCTGAATCCTGTCATGGATTCACATTGTAAACCATGATCTGGGCTAAAGCACATCACACACGATTGTTATGGGACTCACATGGCAGCTCTCTGCCCCTGGAAAAGTCTGCTGTAGTCGTCTTTCAGGCCACAGATGTAGCTCACAGCTTCACCCCACACCTTCTTCATCACCACCAAAGGCAGCTGCGTCTTGGCATCTTGCACTGGGAAAATAAAAACCATGAAAGTTTTTATACAGAGCAGAAGAGAGCCAACACTGTCATGTAACAGTCCTTTTCATTTCGGAAACTGGAGTCACTTCATATGAACTCACCAATGGTGTTGACTTTCTCAGGCAGACGTCTGGCACTGAAGGGGCCGGTGTACTTGGTGATGCTCTTATCAAACAGGTAGACAATGTAGCTGTCCCACCCTCTCTACACAGGAGGAAAGAAAACCATTACAAAGATCTCAAGTAGTGTTTTTACAACTCAAGAGAGTGACTTCAAGTCTCTCAGAATAGATGCAGTTAGAGGGAAATGAGTCATGATTATTGATAGATGTAGATTTTTCTAAACACCGTTGCTTGATGTTGTATATGCTCCAATAAGCAAACCAAAACATAGCACAGGTTGTTTTTTGCTTTTTTTTTTGCAGGTAACAGAACGTAATCATGCATGGGTAAAACAAACAATCAAGATTTTCAGCCCTGTGATTTGTGACAGATCGAACTGATTTACAGGAGCTGAAGCAGACACTTATGGGTGTCATATAGTGACGTAAACAAAACCCTAGCAAACCCCACAGTGATTCAAGACTACATCATGTGATATTTATATATTCATGTTGCTGTGATCGTATGGATTATTTATTTATTTAATAAAAAAAAACTTTGGTAAAGCCACTGGTGTCACAGGCCTGAAATACTTTCAGTTTAGTGACCCTCCACCACTGGTACTGCTGTTGGTGCACAGATAAAACGCAGCTACATAAAATTAAGTGAACAGATGGACAACACGGCCCTTTGTCACGGACACCCGATGTAGGAGAGACAGGATCAGGCCAATGGATGTATCCCAAAATATAAAGACAGCATGGCCAGGGATAACAACCAGTGAGGAACACCGCCAATAAGCTGCACCTTTAGCTCCTTGGATAACAAGATGAAGATGATGATGATTTTTTAATTCATCAAAAAACTCAAAGCTGTTATGTATGATTATTTTAATAATAAGTTATTGTACATCATCACGTGTGATTTTAGATTTAAAATCCTTTTATTCATCAGTGGTTAAATCAGTGGTTAAATCAACGCACCACTCCATCCAGGACACACTGTGCAGCGGGCTTCCTGGGGTCCAGTGACACTCCCGTCTCCTGCAGCAGTTCCTGGTTCACCACCTCGATCTTGGTCTCAGCTTCGATGCGCTTCTGCAGACTGTGGAGACTCTCGTCAGGAGTTAGCTGGAAGGAGTGGACCTGCGCTGTGGTCATGTTCAGGATGTGGACGACCTGAAAACAGAAAACCCGTCAGTATAAACTAAACTACTTCGTGATCTATCATTTTCTGCAGTATGTATCGCCGTACATGGGCCAGCAGAGGGCTGCAAGAATCTAATTATTCTTAATATTGATTAACTGCTGCCTCACCAAAGAGCTGGAATTAATTTATTACTAAAAACTGGCAGATGGGGAGGGCTGTGACAGCCGAGGCCAGCCAGTTCATTTTTATAAAGATTTCAAGTTGTTAAATGTTATGTTTGGTGAAAGCTCTAATGTGTAGCATAAACTGGAAATACTGGAATTCTTATTAACAACCCTCACTCATCCCAACACACTTGCACCACTTTCCCACAAGAAGACAAAAGAAACCAAAACATGGATTTGGAGAATTGCTACACAAACAGTACAATACATGTGTGTGCTTGTGTTTTGACAGCATTACTCCACTGAGACTTTTGGCCTCTCTTATGTCACAGAGAAGATGCTTTTAAATGAGGTGGGATTACAGGATTGTGTCAGATATGGGGAAGAATATAAAATCTCCACAGCACTGAAACATTCGAGATTTTGTTGCAAAACCAAACTGAACTAGAACCCAGTGGTCACTGTGAATGAGGCCTGGAGCTCCTTTGCGTAGAAGCAGCCCATCACGAATCACATATTTACGGTAGAGTAGCGAGAAGGAAACCAGAACAAGTGAAATGGTCTGGTCTGGTTTATCTACCTGCACAGTTTATAATGACGTTTGTGAAGGACAATGTACAGACTCTGCATCACCTCATCAATACTGTCCCTAAGTCAAACGGGATGGTGGCATCATGTTTTTCCCTATTACAGGAACTGAGACACTAAGTGGGAGAAAGTAAAGGATGGGTATATAAAAATATGGGTAATCCTGAGCTCAGAAAAACAAAAACAAACATTTCCCCATTGGCTAAAAAACAAAAAACAAACAAACAATCAAGGTTTCTATTTCAATATTTCTAACAAGACAACAGAAGTTTCCAGACCAAACTCTGTTAAAAAAGGTTGGCATAGAGTTAATCCCAAGAAGATCCGAGTCCTCAAGTATGGGTCTAAATACGCACATCACAAGTTTGCAAGCTTTACTATCAACATTTATCGCCACAAATCTGTAAAGACCTATAAAACATATTCAAATGACTAAATAACCTTTGAATATGACTTGTACTTCTATATCTATAATAAGTTTTTCTGGAATTTGAAACATCATCAATAATCAATATTGTTTCGTTTTAAAATTATTTCTGATACTAACAAAACAGAAAAAAATGTGACAGATTTTTAAAGTACGCTGCGTATCTCTTAGCATGTTTAGGCCTCCTTTAAATGTCACTTTGGATTTTACCTGTGTTTGTGTAAACTGCAAAAACCTGCTGTGTGGGTGGTGACCGTTAAGTTACGTACAGGTGACCCATGTTGAATGTGACGTGCGGAACAAATGCATAACATAACAATAAGAGCATAACAATAAAAATAATTTCGATCTATAATAAATCTTAAAAAGAAAAATAGATGACAATAATTCCTGTATGAGTGACAATGATGGTGCACAGCTTCTTTCTTTCAGATTGGCCCACCAAACATACAAACACTACAATCAGTCCAGTGAGATTAGCAGTAAAATGCCTAAAAGTAGTGAAAGCTTCGGTGGCAGCTTTAGTATTTCTTGTCTTTATAATTTTAAGATGAGAAAAATAAAACACTAAAACTTTCTAGGGCACTGCGTGTCATTGCAAATTACTGACTGAAGAGCCAGCTCTTCCAGTGCCTCACCTTCATAACCAGTATCTGATCAAGGAGTTCAAAGCACAGGGGTTTCTTGGTTTCATGGTTCACTTGGCCTCCTCTGTGCACTGGATCCCACTTTAACATCAGCTGAAGCAGCGCCTCCATCGGCTCCAACAGCGTCCTGTACAAAACCGGTTAAAACATTTAAAACAGGTCTTCAGGGAGGGTAATTAGCAACAACCACAGTTCACATGCTCTCGGCTATTTTGCGTTCCATTTAAATTACTATAACACAACACCATGAAGAAACTAATTTGCCCTCACAGGAGACAAACAGCTCAATAAAATAAGGAAATGTCTCAGTAAAAATGATTGCAGCTGACCTGCTGAGATTGTTGGGGTAGGGGAGATGTGTGGAGAACTTGACTTCTCCGTTTAGTTCTTCTACTGCCATGATGTCTTTTGGACCTTTATTCCTCACTTTGCTGGCCCTGAAGACAAGATCAGAAAGGATCAATAAAAAATTATTTCAATACAAAGTACTAGAAGTACTTAGGTGCTTTGGTTCTTGCTTTTTCTCAGTCGAATTAAAGCACAAACATGTGATGTAGAATAAAATCTGACGTGAGAACAGAGCTGGGCTCCTGCATACTCTACTCAGACATCTGACTCATCTAATTTCCAGTAGCGCATACATTAGTGACACAGACTAGGATCAACTTACCACTGCACAGGTTGCAGGTTGTGTAGGAATGGACGGAAACCGCAACTGCACTCGAAGATCATTGTTCCGAAGCTCCAATAGTCCACAGTCACAGTGTACGGTTTATTCTCAAAGAGCTCAGGAGCCTGGAGAGAGGAAAAAAAACAACAACAGTGTTTCGTGTTTTCATAAAACACGAAGTGATCTTTTTTAAAGACTTATTTGGCATTTCCATCCTTTATGTGACAGTAGAGTCGACAGGAAAGTAGAAAAGGGTGGAAGGAATGACCCACAAGAAATGATCTCAACGGTGAATACACGGCCCTGCAGTAGCCGTGGGTCACCCACTCATCCAGGTAAACTGTAGTGGAGCCCAGAACCTGCAAATTGGCTATTTTTTTTAAATATATATATTAATACAGTCATTTTTATGTATTTAATGAAGCCATCCAAAGTGTTATCTTTTGTATTTACACCCTCAATATTATTTCAGAGTTACAGGCTGACTTTGTGCGTAGGGGTGAGTTGAAATGTTACCATTTTTATTAGTTTTTACTTTTTGAGCCTTCATGACATCTTTTTCACAGAAAGAAACAAGATGTAAAAATATAAATAAAAAATAAAATAAATAAACTGCCACTATATCAGGTTAACATCTGATCCAAGTATCACAATCTATAATGCTACAATCTTGGTTTTTTTTCATAGCACCTTTGAGCATCAGTATCATGAGATGTAGGGCTGCCACGATTAGTCGACTAGTCACGATTATGTCGACTATTAAAATCGTCGACGACTAATTTAATAGTCGACGCATCGTTTGAAGCTTTGTAAGATCACAAAAGACGCAGGAATGAGTAGTAGGATTTAAGAGTGTAATAACGGACTGAAACAGAAGATGGCAGCACTGCATGTACAAGGATGCCAGCTGCCGTTAAACCCCGAAGAAGAAGAAGCTGTGTCCCAGAATGCATAGCGCAGCTGTCAACAATGGCGGCAGCTAGTTAGTTTTAACTTTACTCTTATTATTCTTTCTGGGTCACAAAATAAACGTTTAACATATTTTCCGGACGAGAATGTAGCTGTGGAAACCTCAAATATCGGCTCAGTTTATCAAGACACCACATATTTTCAAAAGCGCTCCGACGTTTTCGGAGACGTCTGTTACCCACTAGCTCGATAGCTAGGCGGGGGCGAGGCTAACTAGAGCCATGAGAACACCGGACTCCCGGCAAATCGTTTTCAAACCCACCGCCGTCTTTCGCTAGTCAGGTTAAACATATATATAAGTCACTTAGATAACTTAAAAATGTTATTGTTTGGCTTTCTTTAGTATTTTATTTGTTCCTGAGTAAATCGGTTTGGCTGAGATTAAAGGTATAGTTTTTGCACAGCTAAAACTGTCAAGCAGACAGCTGATTATCAGAAGTGTGAGACGCTGGAGAATATACTCCGGTGTCCTGTTATATTTTAGAAAGCAAGGAGTTTATTAAACTTCACCAAAACAATCTGCAAATTTCATTAAAAATTAATAAACTACCACCTTGTCTTTATTTTTAGTTAGCACAAACACTTCAAGCTGTAAGCTAATGATAGTTATATAAGACCAGATGCTGCTGGTGCAATAAGCTGTACGTCCAATGGATGATGATCTGATTAGTCGACTAATCGCAAAAATAATCGGTGACTAGTCGACTATCAAAATAATTGTTTGTGGCAGCCCTAATGAGATGCCATCATATCTGTAAGAAAACTGCACCAATTAAATGTTTATGACACAGATAAGAGACGAGCATTGCCACCCTGGATGTATGTTATGTTTTCTGATAGTTCACTGGAGAAAAATGAGTTTTTTAAGGGTTATATCACCATGTGGTTGGTCAACAAGTTACATCATATGACAGGTCTGCTTTTTCACCTACATTGTGATACCAGGCTTGTCTTCTAGCCATGATGTGTTCTAAGTCAAGATAATTTTCTGATATAGTCATATTCAATTATTTAACACTCCTGAATGTAGCCCGTGGCTATGAGCTGAAAAAAAACAATACAGGTGTTCACATTTTTAATTTATTAAAAAACTTTTGGTCCTAAAAAGGTTTTTCACAATTCTTTCAGCAAATCAAAGGGCCTAAATTATAGAGCTAGTGTCTCGAGATCAATATACTGATGTTATTACAGAAATCAAGCTGACTATAAAGAGGTGAGGTGGGAGGCACAGATAGATTTTTCAGAATGACCCTGTTCAGTCATTTCTATAAAAAGGCAGAAAGTAAATACAAGGATTTAAAATCTATAATTACTATAACACATAGCACATAACATACACTATCTGAGGATAAATAAATGTTTGCTTTAAGTGTTTACCAGGTACTGAAGTGTGCCAACGAATGAAGTGCACAGACTCCCCTGGTCCAGGTCTTTAGCATAGCCCAAGTCGATAATCTTGTGAACCAACTGCAGAATAAAAAAATAAATTAAAAAAAGAGTTTATTTCAGATGAGCAGTCAAACAGAGCGGGCTGTGAATGAGAGGGAGACGGGTCTTAATGTGGACATACAAGGAGCAAAGATAGTGAAGGTAGAGGAGTTTAAATACCTGGGGTCAACCATCCAAGAAAAACACACAGTGCACAAGAGAGGTGAAGAAGAGAGTGGAGTGGGTGGAGATGGGTGTCAGGGAGGGTTTGTTTACAAGATGGTAGTGAGACCTGCTGTGATGTCTCAAGACTGTGACACTGACAAAAAGACAGGAAGGCGAGGCGAAGATGTTAAGAGCGACCAGGATAGACAGGATTAGAAACAAGTACATCAGAGGACAGCTCAGAGTTTGAGAGGCAAGGCTGACAAGGGATAGTAGATATATTGGATAAAGGATCCTGAAGATGGAGCTGCCAGGCAGGAGGAAAAGAGGAGGACCTCAGACAAGATTCATGGATGTGGTGAAGGAGGACATGTAGAGGGTTGGTGTGACAGGAGAAGATGCTAAAGATGATATGGAGGCAGATTTTCAGTGGCGACTCTTAAAGAGAGCAGCTGAAAGAAGAAGTAGTCAAACAGAGCAGTCAAAAAAAGGGAAGAGTAGCTGGTTTACCTTCCCGTTGATGTCTTGTAGCACAATGTTTTCCGGTTTAAGATCTCTGTGTATGATCTTGTTTTCATGGAGATACTGGATACCGGATCCTGGAGCAGAAGTCAGACTTAATCAAAGCCAATGACACGTTAAAAGAAGAAATGTCTGAATGAATAAGCCGAACAATGCACATACCAACATCATTAAGTAATGAAAGCACTTCACTTTCTTTCAGACCGCAGCAGTTTTCAGGTTTGCTCAGCACCTGCATATCAGGAAAAAGAAATCCTATCAGAGCTGCGGTATTTTTTAGAACATGTGACCAAAGGGTGAGAAATGTTCTGAAATTAAGAAGTCTGATATGATGTGCTTATTTTCATCTTCTATTTATCTTTGTGTGTGTACTTAATGAAATGTATGTCTTATATAACTCACTTTAAATAATCTTGTTGAAAAGTGCTATATAGATAACATCAGCTAACTTCACACTATCACTCCATATATTACCTTCTATATATTGGTCACTGTGTGCAGTGGCCTCTATATTTCACACTTTTGATTTTACTTTATGTGAAATTCAGGAGCGGGACCACACTCCAAACACTACCTGCCTCACACACCTGTTTATCATCCTCTTTTATAGGTGCCAGGCTCTGGTTTTGCTCACTGTTTCTCATTAATCTGTTGCCTTTGTTATCTTTAAACATTTTTTTTTCATTATATTTTGAGTTGTGGTCAGGGCTTGTGAAATATGACCCTGGTCAGTGACTTAAATCCACATACCAATAAAGGCTTCTGATCCTTACTTTTAGCCTGAATTTATTCACATTTTGTCACAGAAAGCCACAGAAAGTACGCTGAATTTCCTATTAAAAGCTTGTTCGCTGTGCACCCATGACTCCCCACAAAACTATCATTGGACAGAAAATATTACAGCTCTCTGGCAAAGTCTGCTGCATATTTTTTCTGATTTCTAAACTCTCCAAATAATATCAATCCCATCTAAATGACCCCCCCCCCTCACCTTCCTCAGGTCTCCTCTGGAGCAGTACTCCATGGCCAGCAGTGGAAGATCATTTAAGGCTATGGGCTCCACCTCCTCTGGGACCTCCTGGGCTGTCACGATATTGATATGATTTAACCTGAGTGAGAGATATGGAACCACATTACTTTTTAAAGACATCCAGACAGACTTCTGCACAGTCATCCACTGTCTGCATAACAGTGCAACTCATTCTTGCATCTGCAAGCCTGTGGGTTTCACAAATTGATTAATAACTACCAATAACTGTGAAGAAGATCACACTGTATAAAGCCAGAGTTCTCAGAAGGCCCACAACAAGGAACAAGGAAAGAAAGCTCTAGTGCAAACTTAATTTTATCTGTTCACACATTGTGTCATGCTGTCTGCTTGTTAAGTCTAACGTCATTCATCATTTCCTTGTGTAAAACGTCCTTCAGCTCCAGATTGCTCCAGCTACAGATTAGTTAGGCTAATATAAGCACATTATCACCATGGAGATGTCAGATGAGGGTTGAATCACTTTTGTTTGTTGCCAGATCAAAGCGGACATCTCAAATGATTTAATATTCTTGGTAATAAATATCCTAAAAGCAGACTTATTAATTTTTCAATCTGCACTCTTCTTCTTTCGGCTGCTCCCATTAGGGATCGACACAGCAGATCATCTGTCTCTATCTAAAACTATCCCTTTCATCTTTTTCTCTCACACCAACCGTCTGCACGTCTTCCTTCATTACATCCATATCTCTCTGTGGTCTTGCTCTTTTCCTCCTGCCTGGCAGCTCCACCTTCAACATCCTTTTTTCCAATATATCCTCTATCCCTCCTCTGCACATGTCCAATCCATCTCAGCCTCGCCTCTAACTTTGTCTTCAAACTGCTCAACCTGAGCTGTCCCTCTGATGTACTCTACTCTAATCCTGCCTTTAACATCTTCCTGTCTTTTGCTTTGTTAGCTGTAATTCCTTCAGTGTAAAACAGACTTGGAAGCAAATGAGGATCAGGCTACATCAACAACACAATACATTTAAATTCCTTTGATGCACAGCTTGAGCTGCTGTAAATACTGCACACCTTCATCCTGCAGTGTTAACGAAAACCAGCTTAGCAGGTTTCATATCCAAAAGGTGATCCTCAGCAAAGAATCTGTATCACACTTGGAGCGTACTGCAATTACATGAATCAGACAAAATGTGGTGCTTAAAGTGAATTATACACCAAAACTTTGAGCATAACCTGATATGGAAGCCAAAAAATTAGTCCAGCCAGCTTTGCAAGGTGTGTCGTGTTCACTGTCGCAAAGCTGGCTCTCTTTTTACCTGGTTAGATCACCATGGTAACAATGCTCACTATGGTTATAAGCTGAACATATACCCTTGAGTTTCGGTTTAAAACTCAGCTTACAGCACCACATTTTCACAGATTTTCCAATTTTCAATATGATGAGTATGATACAGATTAGTTTTATAGTATTAGTATGCAACTTGCTGAGCTGTATTTCATTGACATCACTGAAAAAAATAGCATGTATTTATTTGATGATGGAGATAATGCATAAATATATTTTTATACTTTATAAACATCTGCTCATACATCTGTTTTACAATTCAAGAACACAGATTATTCTATTTTACTTTAATGTTGACACAAAATAAAATAATTTCCACAACAGCCGTGACTGTTATGAACACCCTCATTTTGCAATAATGTGTTTTTAACCTTCTAAGACCTAAAGTGCACATTAGAAATATGTGCGCAAAGAAAGGCTCTTGCAGACACTCCACAGGTCAGGCTTGGTAGTCATGATTTGCAAGTGACTTGGATTAAAGTAAGGATGTGAGCGCCTCACTGTCTCGGATGAGCCCACCCTGGATCCAGTGTAGGACATAGTCAGAACAACTGGAGATACACCAGAATGCAGGAGGGCCAAAACCCCATTCTAGAGATTCTGCCAGGGTTTACTTCCCTTGCCTCTTGGGAGCAGTGCCATTTATCCACAACTGGGGTAATATATATTAACTTCTCTCTTGTCCTATTTGCACAACCAGTGATGCATTTTGCCACTTTATTTTTAGTATTCTTTCTAGATCTTTATCCCACACTCATCTAACAACATCTGACTTTAGTAGCCATCGTTTCATTGGTCAAGAGGAATTAAATTTATTCTGGCTAAATCATCACTGCGATCTTCATTATCTCTGACTGGGGTTTCAGGTTTTGTCAAGCCAGGTAACAAGAAAGCTGAACTTGATTCAAATGGCACTTTTGTGTCACCTTTGTGACACTAAGAAGTGTTACATACAGATGTGACACATTTAAATAAAAGCCACTAAGGAAGGAAAATAACAAAAAATAAATACCAACTTTTTCATGATCTGGATCTCTCTGCCCCATCTGTCCCTATTCCTTGGTGTAAGCTCCAGGCGACACATTTTTATAGCCAGTTTTTCGTGTGTTTGCTGTAAAACAGACAGCAGACATCACATTATTATACAAATACAGTCAAGGAAAAGCAGGTGGTGATTACTTCAAAACAGGCCATTTCAATTTCCAGCACCCATATCCTCCTTTCCTAAGTTACGTATAGGGTTAGGAACTCTCCTGGCTGGACACTCACCATATGCTGGTAGAGGTAAACATGGGCAAAGCCTCCCATGCCCAGCCTCTCTTTCAGTTCCCAGTCCCCCAAGTTCTGGTTCTGCCTGAAGGGAGGTCTCTCCATTGTTGTTCACGCAGCCTGTACCGGAGTGTGGGAATTATATTTGAGTCACGCGACAGAAACACAGCAGACCCTGTCAGTTTATTAAGTGACTGCGCTGTTTGGATTATCACATAAACCTATCAAACACAGGGGCAGGGCTACATACTGGAATGGCTGCTAGGCTAATGTCAGCTCGATGATTTAGCAGGAAAAACGCTACCACTGACGTTTTGTGGCAGTGTGACACAAGTGGGCTGCCTACTCATAGACAAGACATACCCAACTCAATATACCAGACAACAAGATACACATTTGTTTTTCATATTTGTCAACAAACAAGCAGCTAGCTAACAGCATAGCCAGCCAGCCAGCCAGCCAACGGTAGCCCTACTAGGAAATAGACGGAGCCGGTTATTAGCTTCCTTGCGTTAGAAAATGAAGGCTTCTCAGCGCTTTTTGACACTTACCTGTGGTTTCTATGGAAGTGTCATGAGCCGTGTGCAGTAGAAAGGTGTAACTGGAGTGTGTCTTGTTTTCAGGTCAACGCAGCACCGCGACACTGGACTTCCCCACATAAACGTCACCAGAAAGCCCGGCTGTGTCTCTTGAAAATGAAACGAGGGTGCGTTCAAAAACACAACGCCCACTGCGTTCAAAACACTGTCAAGACTGTGTAAAAGCGGCATTGTGTTTATTTTAAGTCGTGTGTTTTTATTCTGGGGTCCAATAGAGTTTTGTTGATTCATAGTTAAACAAAATACATATTTATACTGCCCCAGAGTCTGCTATGCAGCTCCCCCTGTCCAGCATCTCCCCGAACAGCTCCTGGCTCTTAAAGCCCGCCCAATTAATGCCCACTTTTTTCTGATTGGCAGATTTTGCGGAAGCCTACAGTGGAGTGCTTGTGAAATTACTTTTAAAATAATACTGCCATATTGGTCATTCTTCCAGTTATATTAGCTGACTACTGATACATGTGCAAGGTGTTCATTAGTCTGATCTCAAATTATCTGTGACCAAAATCTCTGAGTTACGTTTTTTAGCACTAGAAAGGTGTCTGGTAAGAATATACAACCAATGAAGGTTGGATGGACAGAAACATTGTGATTTAATAAATATTCCAGCTGTAAGTGAGACAGTTGTTTTATGAGGCTTACACCTGGTGCCAGAACTAAAACCTGACATAAACCCAGGCAGGTCCAGCTGTGGCTGTGTGACCAGTCTTATTCTACCAGCCGTTCTTTGGACCACACATGAAGGACGGTTTTCTTTATTTTGTTTTATTTTTGTGTATATGAGGATTTTTTGTTTGTTTTTTGCGTATGTTACTGGGCCAGACCCAATCTGCTTTGTGAGTAAGCTGAGGACACTCAGATTCCTTAGCTGCAGAATTAAAACATTCATTTGAATCTTGTGCATTAGAGTGGAACTTGGACCAAAATGGCAAACTCCCCCAAGAGCCCCAAATGTGTACTTTGTGACCAGCTGGTTTTAATAACACTTAAACCCCTGTGAAAAGAGGGGTTGCATAGACTGTTAATAAAAGATGGCAACTGGCTAGATTTTTCAGTCATTTTCCCCTGGAGATGTGTTAATAGAGGCAAAAAACAGTACATTTTAGCTGATAACAGTATAATCAGCTCCTTGTGCACACCAGCGACGGATCTAATACCATAATTAAGATAAAAAGTACATCAACATAAACTCTACTCATTGTGTAAAAGAATCACCTGTTTTAGTGCTGTATTATATTAATGGGTCATTCAAACTCATATATTAACATGTACGCTGTCTTTTAACACTGCAGCTGGTCAAGGTGGAGCAAATTTTTAAAGCACTCTATTTTATAAGTACATGTTTTTGAAGTCTCACATGTGAAATTTGTACAGAAGCATTCAACTAATGCACACGACTAAAGCGCTTAAGTACGGCACTTTACATTCCACGCAATGATGTTCACACGTGCAGTAAACCTTTCAAAACACTTTTATTTTATCTCCTATGCTTCTCAAAGTGAGAAGCTCACAAACAACATTTCCTTGGTGAGTTATAACAAGGCAGTGACACATGTAGCTCACTGTATGTATAGCATAAAATGAACATCGCCTTATCTGCACCAGTCTAAAAAACACTGAGACGGATCAGACCAGACCTCTACATGTAAAAAGATTCGTATGAGCTGGCTCAAGTCTCTAAAACACGACAGCATACAACAGCATTAAATATAGCCATTCCCTTCATTCACATTGATTAAAAACAAAAAGAGAGAAATGACCATGAGCTCAAGGACAGGAAAAAATGCTGACCTACCTTATATATTAAGCCTTCTTTTAATACTCTAATCATAATATAAATGAAAGCAGGCCGTAATATCTCATGCTTTATTTACATTCAGAAATGAGGCTGTGATGTACAAGTGCACGCTGAAGAGACAGTTTGAGCTGCAGATATCCTACGTCTGTGAACACGGTGCAACACTTTGACTTGAGTATCACGCAGGCGTCATCAAGGGGAACCAGGCATTTCTATGCTAACCAGTGCCATGGAGGACCAGCTGCTGCTCTGTGATGTATGTGAGTGGTGAGAACACATGGAGAGAGGCGGTGGGAAGGGGAAAACTTTGAGATACAGTGAAGACTCTAAACTTCTTTAAATCTGTACTGCATATAAAGCCACAGACGATTAAGTGACTGCTCTCGCTGTTGTTGGTTTGGCTTTGGCACTTTATGGATCGCACTTCAGTGCAGCTCTTTATATCCCCCAAACAGTCGGTTAATAAATGGTGAAACTGATCTGGCCACAGAGTTGGCAATAGTACGGAGGCTATGTGCACCGATAACTGCATTAACGATAGCAAAACACAGCAGCTGATAGAGGAGTTCGACCTCAGTAAAGTAACATTGAGCTAATATTTGAGGTCAAAGCTGGCCTAGGACACTCTTGTGAAAGAGATTTTGTGGGTTTAAGATTCACCACCAACCGGTTGCAGCAGATAGCCGCCCCTCCCTATGCTCTTCTCCCTCTAAGTTTCTTCCTGTTAAAAGGGAGTTTTTCCCTTGCCACGTTTGCCAGTTTTTCCTTTCCACTGTTGTTGTGATTTGGTACTATATAACTAACATTGAATCAAACCGAGTTTAATTCTTAGTTACCTTTCAACTATTAAACTCTTTTGAATGTCAGCACTGTTTTTGTTGATTGAATGAAAGGCTGCCCGGGTTAAGGCATCAGATGAGGCATGCAGCTGATATGTTGCTTGGTTAAGGGTTAATTTTGGTTTAAGGATCAGTTGGGTGACCGCCCAGGGCCCTGCTGCTTTAACAGGTCAAATCATGTTGTCATTTATATTTAAAAATATAAATGTTTTTGCATCGAGTCTGTGGAGCCCTAAAACTTGAAAAAGATGATATTTATTGTTATGTTGTGCAGACAGCAGTGCTGGATTACCAAAATTAGGTTGAATGGGCCACTGCCCCAAGAGTCCCCAAACCCACGAGCTTACAGGTGTTTCGTTATTATACTTATATATTGGAGAATTTGCACCATTAACAGGGTAATCTGGCCTCTAAGCAAAAAATGGAGAGCTTCTGATTGAATTTCTGATCAACCATTTGAGGGCATATCATAAAATATTAGCATAAAGGTACGAAAAAGCTATTGAAAACTCTTCCCTCTAAAACCCAAAGAGATTTCCAAAGCAGAAAATCCTCACATTTAAAAAGTGAAATTTCCTTCAGCTCTCCTGTTATTTGAGCCTAGACATCAGAAGCAGCAGTTGACAGAGAAAACAGAAATTTGAATACATCTTTATAAAAATAGCACAAAATTCATGTGCAGTTTGGCTGCTTGTTATGAGACACGTACGATGTCAACACAGACTCACACACAAAAAACATTTACTTTTAGGGTAACATAGATAACAGTTTCTTGTGTATGCAATAACAAGAGATGTAGGTTTTCAAGATAAAATCTGACAAGTGTTTTCACATTTTATCCGTGTAGACCTATTATGCTTTTCCTTATTTACTGTTATTTATATTCTGTTTGAATGATAGATGCTCATATCAAACACGGACATAGTTTCAAAATATTTCGGCCATTATTTGTATAAATCAACCAAATCCAAAGTGGCTGCTGATACTCTTAACTCTGTGATTCCTAATGAGGTGATCTGAGCACAGAAGCCCCGCCCACCTGCTGTGGCATAAAGTGTTACGACAGGCAACCAATAAGGAGGAAGGTATCCTCTGTCTAAAACTGTTTTATTTTCAGACAGAGGATGCCTTCCTCCCCAAGGGCCCAGTATCAGCTAAACCAGGATTATTGTTGAGCTCTGGATCATGCAAAGCTACGCTAGTTAAGTCTAAGACTGAAGATATATAGCTTTAAATGAGCAGAATAGGTCAGTGTTAAGGTACTCATTGTAAGTCTGGCTGCTTATTGACAGTTTGGCCACATAACAGACAGCAAACATTACTAATAACACACAAGTATAAAGTCTGTAAAGTTACACGAAATGTACAGGAGGTCAGTTATGGCAACAATATACACATAAAACCTTTTAATACCACCAGCGCGCAAAGATGCAGACAAGAGAAGCAGGCAATGAGCTTTAAATGAAATAAGCTGCTGAAAATTGGGCATAAATGTCTTTAAACTGCTTCTTCTGTCTTACAAAAAGCCCCCAAAGCAAGTAAAAGTGTCACATAAGACAAAGAAAAGACATAAAGGCTGATGACTTCTGGGGAGGATGCTGCCTTAAAATGACTCACATGACAGTCAATAACCAAAAATTCTGGGTAGATTCAGCTTTACGCTGCAGGTATCTACATGATTAACAGACTTACACCGTGACACGCTCAGGTTTTCTGAACTATTTAACTTCTGAATAGCCTGAATATTCAATCATCTGTTCTAGAAACTGTACAGCTTTAAACAACACATTTGGCGCTGGATAAAAGTCAGATGGTCTGGAAGGCTCTCTGCAGCCTTTCACATAAGCACACACTCCCAAAACACACTCAGACTTGACATCCGTAGTTACAATACAAACAGGTCCTATCTCATTTAGCCCTGCAATACCCGCCCCCACCAACCTGCTCAGGCGAGCGGGTGACGCCGTGCATATTCACTGCAGGTGCAGCAGGTGTGATTATGGCTGAAAGAACATGGGTGAATGCTGACAGCTCTCCCTGCTGGTTGGACGCTGGCACTGCAGCTGCTCAAGGTGTCGTTTTAAAGCCTGAGTAATAAATGGCTGTGCATTAATAATGCTATGAAGTGTATATGGCTACCAAACATAATGTGGTTCCATAATTAGATCAGTCCGCCCACACACAAACACATAATCACACTCACTCCTGAATAAGGAGTTTCTTTGTCTTCTTCTTTTTTACATTCTGTTTTCATTCTTTTTTCCATGCATCTTTTACAACAGTATCAGCCCTGATCCAGTTTGAATCGTGCCATTAGCTCATGGCAAACAATGAGACATTATAAGAGAGAGAAGCCGTGGCACTCAGAGTCCCCGGAGAGATATGAGCCAATCGTTTTGTTGCATCACACATATTAACGGTAAAGTTTTGCTGCTGTTTCAGCTGTATCCTGGCAGGAGGTTTATCTTCTATGTATTGTAGAAAAATGTGTGAGCACTTGCAGTGCTATTCAGTGCTCTGTTAGGATAATCAAAGACTTTTTTTTGTTTTTGCACTTTTGGATTGAGCCCTTTTTGAAGTCAAGTGTAAAGTCGCCAAACTTTTGAAGCATTTTTTCAAAATGAGATTTGACTAAATA